CTCCCCCGCCCCCCCGCCACTAACCTCAGTCGCTGCCTGCATACAACGCACACAACAAAAACATAAGCCAAGGACATTAATCAATGGTGAACCACGCAACTCCCCTTTTGCAAAAATTGAGAGCGGGGATCAACTTTCAACGGTCTTGAACGGTACCATAGGATACCGAAGTGGGACGGACTATGCTGCTATGATACGTAAAGGGGGTGAACAAGCCAACAGCATTCGAATGCTACACCATTCGTCTGCATGAGCCACAATGAATCAGCGACCAAGAAACTGTCGTCGACTGCTGTTGCTGTGTTTGCTTTGCAAAACCATTTTCAGGCTTGAAGCACACATGGCAGCTGCGAACTGCTGCAGATTCGACCGTATGAAGGTGGTCAGGTGGTCTCCTCGAGTCGGAAGCAGAGCAGCATAGCACAACGGGTCTGCTGGATCTGAATCCGCTCGTGCTTGCACATCACACCAACTCAACCCATGAAATAGAGCGTTAACGCCTGCTGGTCAGAGGCCCACAGGCGTACATGTGCCACGACTAGAGATGCTGCCCAGGGACAAGCTGCAGCATTTTCTGCAATTTTCTAACATGGAATGGAGCGTAGTTTTCTCCAAGGACCTGCTGTCTACAGTACTGTGAAGCATGTGCCTTTCGTCGAAAGAAGCATCACCAGCTCTGTGTTCTGCTCAACCTCTATTCGTTCCTATTCTCAACACAGGCAGGGGCCACGCCACAACGCCACAACGAAGAGGGCAGCGATTCGATTCGGACTCTTGTACTTTGCTGTAAAACCCTGGTGCGACTCACCGGCGTCCGCGCGCGCTTCTGCGGAAAATAAATAACAAAATATGCTCCCCAGAGTTGAAGAAACGCTTGGCGCAAGAGAGCGAGCGAGCGAGCGAGATATATAGAGAGACAGAGTCCAACGTATATGGGGAGGGTATCTCTGTGTAGTCTCTCAGCTCTTTCTGTCCTGCTGTCCCGCTCTCCTGCCTTTGACTTTTGGCTGCCTCAAGGGTCGCCAATCTCGCCGCCAAAACCTCGGTTCTTGGTTCTGGAGGCCATCTGGTTCTGCGGGGACAGCAGGCAAAGTGACTTGGGAGAGCCCCAGGCGAAGCCCAGGCCCCAGGCTTGGCCGGTCATCAGCAGCGGGAAGGATTGCCTGAGACAGCGACCGGGGCGGGGAAGGCAAAAGAAAGACGGGGGAAAGGGAAGCGACGGAAGTGGGGGTGAAGGAAAACGCGGTGTAGATCTGCTCGTGCTGCAAACATCTGCGGAAATATTGTGTTACAAAAGGCCGTTCGGAATTGTTAGAAGGAATAGCAACGAGATCAATTTTAGAGCAGCGACAGCGACCTTCAGAGAAGGATAAACGGCAAGGGGCTGGCGCCTGGAGCAGGTGCGGGGCAAGGGCACTCCCGGCGTCCTCCTCAAGAGTCTCGTGGACAATGGCTAGGCGTGTCGGGGACAATGATGCGCCTGCTCACCCAACAAAGGATTCTGAGGTGTGTACTGCTGCTGAGCTGCCGTGTTTTGGAGACGACTTGCAGTCTGTGCATCACAAACCTCAACCAAGATGCTTGTTGTGTCCAGCGGACATGCACCTCTAGCGCGAACGTATTCTGCTTGGCGCAGCAGCAGCTCTGGTGGAATACGCCGACCATGACACACCGGGCGCTGATAGATATGCAGATAGCAAAAGCATCGAACCGGGTACGACAAGAATGGTCCTTTAGACTAGGCAAGAGAAAGCGTTGCTGCTGTGGTCTTCGAACAATCGTTGTCGCACGTTGACCGAAGAACCAGGTGTGGACCACACCTAAGCAGCAGCAGCAGCAGCAGCAGCAGCAGCAGCAGCAGCAGCAGCAACAGCGCGAAAGCCAAGGCCTGCCTTCGCAAATGTTTGTCACCAGCATGTCAACAGTGAAGCAAGGATTCCTTACTACCGCACTCTGACAGAACTTCAGCGGCCGGTCTCTACTTGTGAGGTGCAAAGTTCGGAGCGGCCGTTGCGCATGGTGAACAACAGCGACCCGCCCAATTCTGTTCCCCAGCTGCATTTCTGGTTGGCCACGTCTGATGGCGAGTGTTCTCGAGCTCTCCTATTGGGGGGGCAGACCTGTCGTGTTCTCTCTGAAGCCGTCCCGAGCCCATCATTTTTCTCGAGGGCTGCGTGCAGAAGTATCGCACGGACGATGCGAGTCATCCACCGGACGCGGGTGGTCGCGCTTACCCGAGGCATCGCACCCGCGGGGTGCCTTGTACAATATGCGAGAAACAAATTATTCCATTCGATTTCCACGCGGCGGTTGTCGGAGGGGCGAGTTGCGATGAACAGCAGCCAATGATCAAACGCTTTTTCGGGGGTGCCACTCTCGCGCCATGCTATTAAGTCCCTTGTTTCAACGGAAGTACTGCTGTACCTGAGGAGGAAGAGTGTCACGCTCGAAGGTGCCTACAGCAGTGTGCGCCCACGTATGCATACAACATGGCATGTAGTACATGAGTATGCATATCTGTATGCAGAACCCGTTCGGTTCGTGCGGGGCACCATGGCTTGAAGGTTCCATCCGCCGTGTGAGGCCGGTGCAAACAGAAGTATAGTAGTTGTTTCCAATGCTCGCGCGAGTGGGCAGGATGTCGGCACGCTGTTTCACGTGAAGGCAGCAGCAACAACAGCAGTATTGCTCATGCAGTGCATGAAAAATGGGAACGAAAACATAATCACCCGCCCCTGAAGAGTTTCGCGTTTTCCTACGCACAAGAAAACATTTGAGTACAGAAACAAGCTGGACCTGTTGTTCCTGCGCGTGTTCAATCTCTGTGCCCCTCTGTCTGTCTGTCTGTCCGTCTGTCTGTGCCGCATTCGGCTGGCATATACGTACGTCATCATGACTGCCTCGGGGACCCTTTTGCGGCGGGATGGGCGTCGTGCGTTGTGCATGCAACTGCCCGCCGTTCGTTCCTACCTACCCTGGACATCAGCAGCCGTCGAGCTACTTTTCCCTGAGCGAGGCCGTACCGAGCACCCTGCGCTCCCACAGCGGGAGCATGGATGTCACGGACGTCGCCTACGCCCCCCGAATGTAAGGAAATGTCTTCGCACAAAGGGCTTTGCGACACGATCGTTTGGTAACCATGTTGTACAGCCGGCGTGGTAGAGAGGTACCGGCGGTTGAGTTAGGGAAACAATTACACAGCCGTCCTCTTCCTAGCCTCTCTCAACTATTTTTTGGCGGCGAGTTGTCCATGAGTAAATTTCGCTACTGTAGTTTCCTGCCTTGCACCTCTGTTGGATTGGTTTCCTTGTTCAGCTGCGATGTTGAACCATTACAAAGCACTTCGCCGTAGCCACTACCACCACCACCACCACCACCACCACCACCACCACCACCGCCGCCGCCACTTCGTGCTCGAAGGACGGCGTTCTCCAGGAGAGGGGAGACCCTGCTGGAGGACCGCCTGGCCGAGGACGGCGACGCCTCCGCCGACTACAACCCCGCGGACGACGACACCACCTCAGACGAGGGCAGCCCCATCGCGCGACAGAGCCACCTAGACCACCACCTCAACCGCCAACGCCTGGGCGACGCCGCCAACGCCGACGGCGACGGCGGTGCGGACGGGGGGGGAATGATGGACCTGGAGGACGGGGGGGGAGTCGGAGGAGAAGGAGGAGACGTTGACGAGTTGGGTCCGGGGATTGCGCTCGGCGGCGGGTTGGAGGAGAGCGGCGGCGGGTTGGAGGAGGTGGTGCGGAGGGGAGAAAGGGCCGGTGGGTTGGGGCTGGAGGTGAGAGACAGCCCCATGTCGCTGTCTGTTGTCCTTTGAGCCGTCGAAGCGTTTGCCGTGGAAACCATTCCTCCGTGCGGGGGTCACACGGGGCGGCACTCGACCGAACACGTTCGGGCGCTCCCCGAGGGGTTTGTTGTGCATGTCTTGCCTGTCTTGCATGTCGATAGTGTGCTTTCTCTTCTTTTTGGGGTTGCAGGCGTCAGCCGCCTTACGTCCAGCCTTGACGCAGGACTCGGCACGACACCCAGGGAAAGGCCGTTGTGCGAGGTGTTGGTCGTGCCCGTTGTCGCCGGCCCCTCCCTCCGCTTTCGATGAGTCCCTTTTTGTTTGCCCCTTCTCTCGTACCCACCTTTCGCAGCCGTCGTTTGCGAACGTTGTAGACATCACGATCGTTTTCGTCGCGTGTATTTTTGTACCCCAGTGGGGGGTCGGGGGTACCTAGTGTGCTGTCTCGCTACATCTTTTGTGCCTTTGGCCACGACTACTACTGTAGTCGAGACCGCGCGCCTGGTGGCTTTGCGCAAGGGGTAGGAGGATAGGGGGGGGGGGTAGAACGTCGTGTACGTATCGACAAGACAAGCCACCGCGAACTATATTATCCTCTACCAACCCATGCCTCCCTTTGCTTTGGTTTCTGCTCGAGTGTCGATTTTTTTCCAGAAGCAACTCATTGGCAGTTAGTGCTCGGCATCTGTTTGGTCCAGCACGTGCCGATGAATTGTTGGTCGTCCGTCCGTCGTTTGGAGTGTACAGTGTTCTATCGCTAGATGTTTTTCCCGTTTCCTTGCTGTTGCTCTCTACTCCCAACTGTCCTTTGCTCGACTCCACGCGTCTTTTTTTTTTTTTTTTGCTCCCTATACTCCCCATTCGGTTGCTTTGCTCACGTGCGATGCCCTCCCAAATGACGATGAAACCTCCTGTTCGATGGACGTGCACCACAACTAACTTGGTCATGCGCTTTTTCTCGCGTGTGGTACGTAGCCGCTGGAGTTGCCAAGGCCACCCACCGGGCCAAACGCTTCCGGTGGAAAACCCGAGGACGACGTCGAAGAATCCCCCAGGTCTTCTCCGCTTGGCCAAGGCCCCGGCTTACAGGTGAAAGAAACGCCACCCTTTTTTTTTTTCATCCAGGGCGCAATATTCAAAAGTTCTTGTTGGCTCTTCTGCTCTCTCTCTGAACAAGGGTCGGGGTCCCTCCATGTGGGCTTAGATTTACGGGGTTCCATTTTGCCTCTGGTTTCGTGGTTTTCCACGGAGAAAAACCGTTACCACCCAGCCCGGGATACTCCATGTGCTCGCACTCTCACACCGAGGTATCGTAGGGCAGTGACGTATCCAGCTCCATAGCTCCGCGGGCGGGACGCAGGCTCCGCCGGCAGTGAAAACGGCAGGCGGGTGCGGAGATTTTCCTCGGTTGTTCGTTTCCGAGTTCCCGAGGTGGCGTGCGTGTCGACTTTGCTGGATCAACTCAATAAATCGGCCAGGCTTAGGATCCCCCCTCTCTACCCATCCACCGACCCCCTCTCTTTAAGTCATCGCGGGATGTGCTGTGCATTACGTTGCGGTGACACCACTAGGACACTGCGTTTCCCAGATTGACTTTTGTTTTTGTTAAGATTTCTCTACTATTTACAAGCGCTGGTCCCATCTTGAATGACAAGAGCGGGCCTGCTGCCGTGTTGGCGTTGTGGCTTGCCCACACTGGTGCAGAGCAGTCGGTCTGTTGAGAGGGTTGTCATCGCAGGCTGATATTTTGCTCGTGCTGTTGTTGTTGTTGTTGTTGTTGTTGTTGTTGTTGTTGTTGTTGTTGCCGCTGCTACTGTTGCCACTGCTGCTGCTGCTGCTGCTGCTGCTGCTGCTGCTGCTTCTTTATTGCCGATACTTTGTAAATCTTGGAACAGGCGATCGCCTTTGAAGCGGCAGAGTCGGGGAAAGCCTCTCCTTCTTTGTCCGGCGGGGCGGGGGGAACCGGGGCGGGAGCGCTATCGCTAGGCGGGGGGGGTCCCATAGTCGATGGCGGAGACTTTACTGCCTCGGGAGGGCCAAGGATCTGGCGGGTGAGACGAAAGACAGCGATGACACACACACACAGCATGACGCCCCCTCACGGGGTTGCCAGATCATGGCGTTGTAGAAACTTGTTCCTTTTTCAACCACACTGAGACGGGCGTATCTTCATTGGTCAGCGAGGTCGATGGTACTAGTAAAGACGCACACACACACACGGAAACCAGGGGGACAAAATACTGAGAACAGTAGTAAGAGGCGAGTTATTGCATAGGAGGCAAGAGAGGAGTTCTGTTTACCCAGCAGCCTAACTGGTGTACCAGCTATTTAACCCTTGGAGCTCGGCGTGTAGTACTGTTGTCTGTTGCAGTTTGCTTCCCTTTTTGGTTGGGTTTTGTTTCACCTCCTGCGTGTGTGAGAGACGTTTCACGCGCTTGGTAGTAGCGATTTTCCGCAAGCCATGCGTCTCACGTCTCGTCTGCCTCCTGATCGCGGCTTCCGACCCGGAGTTCGATCATGTGGAGGGATGTTCGTGATTCCCCGGAGTCGTCTATTTTTCCACGTTGGACTCGAGGCTACAGCTGTGTCGACGACGGGCGGCAGTGAACTGGCGCGGCAAAGATATCTCTCACGAGAGCGAAGCTTTTCCATGTCGTCGTCTCGAAAACGGAACACAACACCGCCCATTGTGGTGTTCCGTAAGCATAGCTGAATACGGTTACCCGGCCTTGCTGTTGCTGCTGCTGCTGCTGCTGCTGCTACGGTTGGACGGAACACGCGCCGGCAACTTCACCTCTCAACTATTCCCCTGTGACGCACACACCAGGATGTTATCGGGAATTCGGCAATACTATTGTCTTGCGATATATATATTTTTTCTGCCCTCTCGCCTGACCGACCAAAACAACTTGCCGCGTCTTTCGAAACCCCCCACATGTACATGACCTCCACATGTCAGGATGTGTCTGCGGGCAGGGAGAACGGCGGTGGCAGCGGTGGCGGCGGCGGTGGCGGTGCCGGCGGGGTTAGCGTTGGGGCAGGTGGCGGCATCGACAGCCCTGCTGTTAGGGAGATGAGGGCGGACACGGTTAACTCGACTAGCAGCGACGAGAGCATGGCGGGCAACGCTAGGCTTTCAGGTCGGTAGATGGTGATGGTGATAATGATGATGATGACGACGACGATGTTTATGATGGTGATGGTGATAATGAGATGATGATGATGATGATGATGATGATGATGGTGGTGGTGATGGTAAGTGATAATGAGATGATGATGATGATGATGATGGTGATGATGATGGTGGTGATGATGATGATGATAATGACGACGATGACAATCACGATGTTCTCAAGCCCTGTCTAGACCGTGACGCTGTGTCGGGTGGTGTGTTTGCGTGTTTCGTAGTGGCGACCTCGCCAACCGGGTAACTAATGAAAATACGCCAGTCTTTCAAGAATCGCGGAATAATATTGAATAGTGTGTTTTTTGCGCCCGTTCCCTTAGTTAGCATCGACCGCGGTAACCGGCTGACCCATGTGAGAAGGAGGTCTTCGAAGTGGGATTACAAAGGCGGCGACGGTTTCTAGTCATCAGGCTCTTCCGGCAGCTTGTGGTGTTGGTGTTTTCCCTGTGAAGTGGGGATTTGTCTTTCTTGCCGCCTTCTTTGCTTCTGTGACCCCTTTCGTGTCCATTTTGGTGGTGGATTTCGCATGGACGAGAACCCACGCACAGAACTGCCAAAAGCTCTGACGCCAAAGATGGCTGTGGGAGGACCACCACCTATCCCACCTGTTGCACCACAATCTCCCCCTCCACCTCTCCGTACGTCGTTTCTTGCTTGTTGCCTCCCCCCCCCCCCCC